TCCCCCTTCTCGTGGAGAATATCCTGCCTTCATGTCATCGCCTGTACCTTCTTGGAAGACTTCGTACTGCTACAGGATTGGGTGCCTCCACACGGAATCGAAGGGCGTTGGAAAAACTCTCGCCTACTTGGAATGGAAGGGCGTTGAGTACCTGAAGAAGACGGAATATCCAAGTGTGTCACCTGACTAAACCCCTCAATTACCCGGTTCGGGCGGAGCTCAACAGGGTGGTCTACAGTGGCGGAGAAATCAACGCTGACTCAGGCACCGAATCACGGTCGCGTGGCAGAATCTCTCGATGGCGCTCGTCCAGAAGGCTGTGGCGGAGTATCATGATAGTACAATATGCTGTTGAATATGGTGGTGGAAATGTCCCATCAGAATTCAATTAAGTGTAACTTATAGCGCCCTGAAAGTCAAGGAAGAAAAGTGGTTTTTTGGCCCCTTGTAGAGACGGCAATCGGGTATCACTGGTCTCCAGCCACTTTCCCCGTGCAGTTCTGAGCGGAACACGCGGCAAAGAACGATGAACGGATTTGAGTTATCTCAAAACTAAACAAAAGACGAAAAAAGAATTCTCACTAGATGTAGATAAAACTTGCTTGTAACGTGTCCAGTGCCCTTAAGAACTATGTGGATTTGAAAGGGCAACGAATAGCAATTCTATCTGAGCAAAGTCTAGACGACTAAAAATTTACGCCGAGAGATGATTTTCAAGGAACTCGTCTCTCCTAGTATGAGGTATATAAAAGAGTGGAGTGATCTCAATAGGAAATTTAGGGTAAGCTGGTTCAGGTTTGCGGCCGATCATGCTTTTCTGAGGGTTAATTATCTCCCTCAGTCTACTTTTATTTCTTTCAGAGACTGCACAATCTACATTCGCACATGCGACATTCTATGGGATAAGTCAATGCCTTTAGTTCATGAGCGATATACTGTGCACTCCAATTAATAATTAATATGATGATAAGCGAGAATCGCATCTATGGCCGGCGGTGAGCTCTCCGATGAAAACTGCATGAGGATGTCTCGCCGGCATCGTAGCGTCCATTGGACATGCCAGACACGAAAGGAGCTGAGCAAAATCGCATTGTAGTTGCGTCAAGGAAGTCTTGAGTGAACAGGTGGGACTTTCTCTCGACTGTTCGTTTTTGCCTCTTCATGTGTAGAATATCTTGAAGATGTAATTTAGATCTTTCTAAATTTTTACTATTATAACTGAATGAATAGAACTCCGGAAATGAAACTGTACAGTTCTAAGACTGCACGGGGTGTAGTGGTTTCAAGTGCATGAAGTACCACACTACAGCATACTAGATACCCTGATTCAAGTATAGTATTATGTCTATACCCTATTATGTTTCTCGAAATATATGCCAGTGAAATGTGCATTTCAAGGGCAAGAGACGTGCATTGTCAACTGAATTGCGCTCAACTTCATCTGTAAACCCTGTTCATCTCGAAGATGAGCGACATAGCGGCTTACAGATCAGTTGCTCACTCGATAGCTTACTTCGCCACAGTGTTAGAAGGAGGAAAAAGTACGGTAAGTCCCCAGTCTGTCCTTTGAGTGACGATTCCTTTGATCTTTCTTTTTTCCTTACTTTTTCATCAGATTTTCATCTTCTCAAGTCTTCACTAATTTGTTTTGTCCTCCTCTTATCCATAAGCAGTACTGCATGTAAGTGGTGGTAAGGGTGAAACGACTGAACATAAACCGCTGGACTAGAGTGTCGAATTTGCGGGCTTAGCTGATAGCTAACTGCACATGTGTTTAGAGTCGCAGTAGCGAGAGCCCTACCCCAGGGTGCTACCTTCTTCGCTCAGCACGGTTGTCTAAACGGTGAACAGTTCGCTCAGAAATGTATTCAAGGGGAGAGCGGACAACGTTAGTTTTCTTACAAGCTTTCATAGGGACAGAACACGATGCGTGTTGAAGTCATGACTATAACATTTTTCTAATATTCGAGGCAATTTACAGCTAGAAGACAAAATATAGCTTGAGTCATCTGGCTATTAGTCGGTCAAGGTATTTCGAGATGAAAAGTGATTCATTCAGAAGAAATGTTAGTCAGGAAAGGAATTTCTATATGAAAACATGATCAAAGCTGATTCTATTTCTGTAGAGATACAGAAAGACTCCCAACGGCAAGCAAAAGTTCAATTCGACTTATGATGGCGCGTTCTCGTGCAAATTTTCAAAAGGAGGCTCATTATCATAATAGAGATGAACACCTTCCGCAGCTGTTACAATCGTGTCCCTAAAAACGTGGAAGTTTTCAAAAGAAGGCTCACTATCATAATGATAGGGAGAAGAATAAAAAGGATTTCCCAGACACTGAAGAAAGAGGCCACACAAAGGATTCCCAGACACTGAAGAAAGAGGCCACACCTTCCGCAGCTGTTACAATGGTGTCCCTAAAAGTTACAAAAATTTCATATTAGAGGACAGATCACTTTCCACTCCTCTTTCGTGATGCTGACATCTGAAGAGATGGTCCTTTCGTTGACGAAAGCCAGCGATCCTTTGATCGTGAAGTTCACGGTCCCTCCGGGGCAGACGGCGATGCAGTTGGTGGTGACTGATGGAGTGTCGAACATGAAGAAGATTGTGTTGAGATAGCCGGACTCTGTGCATCTGATTACGTGGGAGTGCTTGTCGCATTCGATATGGGCTAGAACTTCGTCGTTGTCGCTCGTGCAGGATAGTGTTAGCGAGGCTCCGGTAGTGCAACTGTAACAGCCGGATAGATCGCTTGAGTGCCGTTAATTGGAGGTCTTCCGCAACAATTCGAAGCTGTATAGTTGATCGACGTTTACTCTTGAGTAGACATCGGCGTTGGAACTGAAAAATGATGAAGTTTTTGGATGCCTGTGGAAGTGGTTGAGGAGCCATGCGATCGCGGATATTTCCATTGCTGCATGTGCATGTGGCGCTATGCAAAGCAGTGGTGCATGTACATGCATGACGAGGAAAGTAGCAGTCAAATTGTTCTGCAGCTTGATGCGACGAACATTGCAGCTGCCCAGCAGAGTGACTTTGTAGTTCACCTGCTGATTGACGTTTGCTTACCATCCGTGATGAACGTGGATGATAGAATGGGAAGCTGTGGAACAATCGTGCCGATTAATGAGAAATGAATGTTGTTCCATGTACTTGTGCGTCCTGGGAGCAAGCGTACGGTTGTACTGATTATTTCATCTTCTCCTTGTAGAGACACTTCTGCGTTCACCTCAAGTTCCCAACTTGGGCACCGGAAGACAGTATAGACTGTCGATGTTGTTGGAACAGCATACAGTCTGTGGAAGAGGCAGCTGAGTGCAGAAAAGAAACATCATCACAGGTGAGAACGCCACAGCTTGATGAGCAAGACGTGTAGCCCGGACTATTGTTGGCAATGTCCGAAAACTCTTTTAGCTTGTCCGTTTCTTTAACTTCGTGGCATCTGTCTGCATGGCAACTGCCTGCGCGATGGCAGCGGTGAACTGACTCTGATACGATCTCGTGATCGCGTGTGTAGAATTCGTTTTTTCTGTTGCAGCGAAATTTGATTCCTTCCGGTTTGATCGTTAACATTCCCATCGGTAGAATTTGTGGGCTGTGGAGGGTGAGGCAGGTCTGCTGCTGTAAAGGTTGAAGCGTGATTATCGTCACATGGTTGAACGTGCAGGTTTGTTTATTCTTATCGATTCTGCAGACTTCTTCACTTGTTGTGTTGTCACAATGATTACTTCTGAACATCCTTTTACGTGATTAGGTGAAACAGTATCAGGATAGCACAGGCCATCATTGTTTGCCGTCGATTCCTCCTTCGTTGATTCGTATAATTCGGTAACTGGAGTTACTTATGTAGTCGTCCAGGTGAGGCGGAAACATAGCACGAAGTTTTCGTAGAACGAGAAAGATTATATAAACGATGAGGAGCATTGTTTTGAGAAAGACATAGTCTGTTGGCTTCATGAGTGTAGAGCGCTGTTGAGGGGAATTACGATGAAGAGCTTGTAGGTCCAGCATTGTGGATTGTACACCTTTCCCAACAAATGTAGCACTGAAGAGTTTCGCAAATGGCATGAGCTTTGCAGGCGAGTTCGGAGTCGTTGAACAGTTTGCCGTTGCTCCATGTTCTAACTGATACGAGGTGATCGTACATTATCAGTGAATTGGGGAAGGTGATCGTCTGCGATGTGGAATTTTTGAAAAAAAAACACAATAGTTGCGAATGCAGACCTCAGCGACTTCGATTGGGGTTTCACTTCGTAGAGATATTGCACCGATTGCACATGTTCTCTCAAGCCGTAGAGAAGTTGTTTCACTTTTCTTTCCTTTTGTACTGACTGTTGGAAATCCAAAGAACGACTTCGTCACTGTTCCCCATGCTTTGATTGGTATCATTGTTGATGAGTCACTGTCGTTGATGACGAGCATTGCCATGGGGTTGCCATATGCACAGAACAGTCTAGCGTTCGGCTTGCATTGATGTCTATCGCAGAAGCGTGAAGCTCCTAAGCTGCGATCGATCGTTTCCGTAGTCGCTTCCGTCTTTTTTCGATACATGTGAAATCGTTTTCGTCTACATACTCTTTGATCTGATTGTGTTTCCACCAGTAACATGTTATCGTCAAACA